ATGCATAATGGTGTCATGTGAAGTTAAGATGAAATTGGTTTAATGGTTTATGAGAAGATGTTGTTTAAAGTAAAAGTGGACATACCACAGACGCTGTATGAAAAGCCATCACAAAAGCTCACCATGCAACTTTGTGACAAGTGAGCTAAAAATCAAAACATTTCTTTTTTTCTTCGAATATTCATATTCGTTTTTCATGGTTTTAATATTCAGATATCCGGCCCTACCTTTAAGAGTGACCTTGACCTTGGGAGTAGAAATCCAATTACAGTGACCTTGACCTTTGGGGTTGCAACCCAATTATTGTGCTGAGGACGGAGGGATGAACTAACAGACAGAGGCCATTGCTATAATTTTCTCCCCGCTACCTGGAAGGGGATTAAAAATCTGAAAAAACAAGCAAAATCTAGACATTTGACCTTAATGACTGATGGTTCATTTTAGTCTAGTCTTCTGAAAGGTCTTGTCCCAAGGGTTATTGTGGCCAAGTATGAAGACAATACACCAAGAACTTAAAAAAATATTATCAAGGCACAAGATGGCAAGGGCAACACCAACATGACTGTAAATATATCTCTATTTTCATAAAAAAATTGAATCCAAGGGAAATTATTTGAAAAAAACTTAGGGATTCAAGCAACATTCCAGGCCATTATTATCCAACTTGACACATGGTGTTCTCATCTGAAAATGTTCTGGAAGACTTTGTGAAAAATAAGTAATCACTTACCTTTTGTATTGATCATACAGGAATGGCAAGCCTGACCTCGTTCCTTTGAAATATTAAGTAAACAGCTTTCACAATTATTGGCTCTATATATCTCCTGCAGGAAATAAACACCATTAAGTTAAATAATATCAATCAGCTATTCAAAAGTTTTATAAACATCAAATTTATTGATATATTAAAAGTAACCTACAAAATACAATGAAAAAAATTATGAAACCCCTAAATTTTGAGTTTAAGAGAAAAGCAAAGCAGTTAAAATGGTAAAGTTGCCCTTGATGTTTTTGTCATTGGTTTTTGGTGATTACTAGCAATTATCAAAGTATTGCAAGAAATACAAAAGTCCTCTACAGCTTAGAATCCTAGCAGCATTCTGAAGGGCCATGGCAATTTAATTATTCAATTGTGGAAGACATGGTTGAACTTTAATCTTTTATTTTCTTAGTTTATCTGTGTCATTGTAATGTGTTATTTAGTTTCCATACCTAATATGAAATTTTGTTACAGCAGATAATCAAAAGATCCAATTGTCTCATAATGAAACTTTCTCTATTTCAAGTAAATTTGTTGGAATTTGTTTAAGTTCTTTAAAGGTGATCTTTAAGGAAACAGTCTTTAGGGACAGACAGACAGACTGATAGACGGAAGACAAATCTTTAAACATTCCTGGTTGTAACCAGAATATAACATCTTAACAAGAGGGCCATGCTGGCCCTAGATCTTTCTCCTGACTCATCAAACGCATCCAAGCAATGTCTTAGACAAACACCCTGGCCAAGTTTGATGACGATTGAGTCAAAAATCTGACCTCTATTGTGTTAAACGGGTTTTTTTCATATTTGGGCAATGTGACCTAGTTTTTGACCAGAGACGACCCATATTCAAACTTGACCTAGAAGTCAACAAAACAACCTTCCTGACAATTTTTTCAGGAAATTTGGATCAAAACTGCAGCCCCTAGAGTGTTAACAAGCTTTTTCTACTTTTAGCTCCTGTGAACTAGTTTTTGACCGGAGATAACCAAAATTAGAACTTGACATAGAAATCATCAAAACAACCTTTCTGGCAAATTTCCAGAATATTTCGATTAAAACTGCAGCCACTAGAGTGTAAACAAGATTTTTCTATTTCTAGCTCATGTGACCTAGTTTTTGACCGGAGATGACCCACTTTCACACTTGACCTAGAATTCATGAAAACAACCTTCCTGACAAATTTCCAGATTATTTGGATCAAAACTGCAGCCACAAGAGTGTTAACAAGCTTTTTCTATTTTTAGCTCCTGACACCTTGTTTTTTCACCAGAGATAATCCATATTAGAACTTGACCTAGAAATCATCAAAACAATCTTTTCTGACAAATTTACAGAATATTTGGATCAAAACTGCAGCCACTAGATAGTCAACAAGCTTTTTCTATTTTAAGCTCCTGTGACCTAGTTTTTGACCGGAGATAACAAGTTTTTGACCTTGACCTAGAAATCATCAAAACAACCTTCCTGACAAATTTCCAGAATATTTGGATCAAAACTGCAGCCACTAGAGTGTTAACAAGCTTTTTTTATTTTTTTAGCTCCTGTGACCTTGTTTTTGACCGGAGATGACCTATATTCGAACTTGACCTAGAAATTATCAAAAAACCTTCCTGACAAATTTCCAGAATATTTGGATCAAAACTGCAGCCACTAGTGTTAACAAGATTTTTAGCTCCTGTGACCTAGTTTGTGACCCGAGATAACCCATCTTCTAACTCTATCTGTATTTAATTGAGACAGACATTCTGACAAAGTTTGATGATGATCCAATCAAAACTGTGACTGCTAGACTGTTAACAACCAAATTGTTGACGACGCACAACGCACGACGACGGACATAGTCCATCACTATACCTCACCTTGACCACTTCGTGAGCTAAAAAGCAAAATTCTTAAACTTAAGTTGTATTTACACTTGAAATAAAGATGCTAGACTTATGAACATCATCATACATGATTTGAGTGATGACAAAGAACAACTAGAAGGTTTAAAAAAAAAAAAAAAAAAAATTGTCTCCCAAAACTAAGTATGATATTGATAACTCCTGTGAATTTTGGCCAAAATCCTGCCAGCAGTTTGACCTTAGAAAGCCGGACAAGATTTTATATTAATAGCTCTGACGGTCATTTGTCCGGCGATATGTTCAACTAGGCGTGGTACTGATCACTCCTGTGAAGTTTTATTGATATCCTCCTAGCAGGTTGACCTGTGAAAGCAGGACTTTTTTCTATTTTTAGCTCTGGCGGCCATTTTGTGAAGCTAAGAGGAACGTGCCGGCCATATGCATAACTAGGGATGGCACTGATCACGTCTGTGAAGTTTCGTTGAAATCCCACAAGCAGTTTAACCTGTGAAAGCCAGACAAGATTTTTCTATGTATAGTCCTGGTAGCCATTTTTGTGCAGTGAAACAGAATGTGCCGTCGGCCATATGCACATCTAGGGATTGTACTGATCACACCTGTGTAGTTTCATTAAAAGTAAACATGCAGTACATCCGGTGAAAGCAGGACAAGGTTTTTTCTATTTTAAGCTCTGACAGACATTTTGTGCAGCAAAGTAAGGAACATTCCAGCCATTTGCACAACTAGGGATGGTATTGATCTTTTCTGAGAAATTTTATTGAAATCCCACCAGCAGTTTGACTGTTAGCTGGACAAAATTTTTCTGTTAATAAGCTCTGGCGGCCAACATGTGCAGCGAAAGAAATCGTGACGGCCACATGCACAACTAGGGATGGTACTGATCACTTCTGTGAAGTTTCATTGAAATCATGCCAGAAGTTTGGCCTAGTGTGAAAGCCGGACAAGAGTTTTCTATTTTAGATCTGGCGGCTATTTTAACTATAAAAGAGACATAACTGTGCCAAAAAATACATTTAGAAAATAAAGATACTATGCACAACTAGGCATGATGACAAACAATCCTGTAAAGTTCCACTGAAATCCCACCAGCGTTTTTCGAGATGAAGCACGGACAAGGTCATCCGACGGACAGTGCGATTACTACATGCCGCCCTTTGGGGGCATAAAAAACATGCATAATCTCCAGACTGCAATCTATCCATATTTCAAGTTCCATAAAAATATTTTCAGTATTCAGACTGGATCCAGTTTTGTGGATGGACAGACAGACGGAAAGACATCCTCAAAGTTTGGTTTTTAAGTAGCTACACTTCTGTTCTCTCTATTGGTTTCTTAGCCATGTAAGAGAAAAAAAAACACATACAAGCTTATTGAATGAATAACATCAAAGGAAATTTGTTGTTACCTATTGTTCCCGTAGCCACCTACTTAGGGACCGACATAGGATGGAGGGTTAATAGTTAAACGAAAGAAGAGCCGGTTGAACCGGGTGATACTCCCCAAAAAAGTTTTGGGCACAGGAGGGTATACCTCTTGTAGTGTCAGAGTTATGTCACAGACAAAGTTCAAAGTGTTAAAACAAGGTAGCAACCCAAATGTTGCACCGGACACAATTTTGCTGCAAGGTTATGCTGTGACCTTGACCTTCAAGGTGGCGACCCAAATGTGGCACGTCACACGTCGTCTCAATATGGTGATCATTTTTGTGAAATAGTTGTAAAATCCAACTTCAAATAATGAAGTTATGGGCCGGACACGATTTTGCTGCAAGGTCATGCTGTGTCCTTGACCTTCAAGGTAGCAACTCAAATGTTGCGCGCGACATGTTGTCTCAATATGGTGATTATTTCTGTAAAAAAGTTGTAAAATCAGTTTTCAATTAACAAATATATGGGCCAGACACGATTTTGCTGCAATGTCATGCTGTGACCTTGACCTTCAAGGTAGCGACCCAAATGTTGCTCGCGACACGTTGTTTCAATATAGTGATCATATCTGTGAAATAGTTGTAAAATCTGACTTCAAATAACGAAGTTATGAAGAGGAATGATATTGCTGCAAGGTCATGTTGTGACCTTGACCTTCAAGGAAGCGACCCAAATGTTGTGCATGAGAAAGTCGTCTCAGTATAGTGATCATTTATGTGAAAAGGTTTTTAAAATTCGACTTCTTGTAACAAAGTTTTGGGCCGAACACGATTTTGCTGCAAGGTCATGCTGTGACCTTGACCTTTAAGGAAGCGACCCAAATGTTGCATGTGACACGTCGTCTCAATATGGTGATCATTTCTGTGAAATAGTTGAAAAATCCAACTTCAAATAATGAAGTTTTGGCCAGGCACAATTTTGTTGTAAGGTCATTCTGTGACCATGACCTTCAAGGTAGCGACCCTAATGATACGCACAACATGTTGTCTCAATATAGTGATCATTTCTGTGAATAGTTGTAAAATCTGACTTGAAATTACGAAGTTATGGGCCAGACACTATTAATCTGCAAGGTCATGCTGTGACCTTGACCTTCAAAGTAGTGACCCAAATTTGCTCATGACATGGTTATCATTTCTGTGAAATAGTTGTAAAATCTGACTTTAAATAAATTTATGGGCCTGACACAATTTTGCTTCATGGTCATGCTGTGACCTTGACCTTCAAGGTAGCGACCCAAATATTGCGGGCAATATGTCAACTCAATATGGTGATCATTCCAGTGAACTAGTTGTAAAATCTGACTTCAAATAACGAAGGTATGGGCCTGACACAATTTTGCTGCCCGTGACATATCGTCTCAATATTGTGATCATTTTTGTGAAATACAATGTAGTTGTAAAATATGACTTCAAATAACGAAGTTATGGACCGGACACGATTTTGCTGCAATGTCATGCTGTGACCTTGACCTTCAAGGTAGCGACCCAACAGTTGGAGCGACATGTCACCTCAAAATGGTGATCATTTTTGTGAAATAGTTGTGTAATCCGACTTAAAAGAACGAAGTTATTGGCCGGACACGAATTCGGGACGTACGTTCGTACGGACGGACGGACTGACTGACGGATGGGCAACCCGACGACTATTTGCTCCCCGGAATTTTTTTCGGGGAGCATCAACCGGGACTTATGAGCATAATTTGTTAATCTTACATTACTATAATTATGCAAAGTCAATTTGATTCTGTAATAAATGTTATTTTTAAAGATCTAAGATTTTGTTTGTTACGGTCACCATGACCTTGAAATTGACCAAACCTTAAAATAAATAGTAGTTATGTATTACTAATGACCTAGCTTCACACAAAATCTTAAAACTTTCAGCCTAAGTATTCAATGGTCTGATTAGCTGTCAGTTGTCAAGGCTATTGTGACCTTGACCTTTGACAAACTGGCCCTGATAAATAGGGAGGGAGGTAGAAAAGCCTAAAAGTACATAATATGCATTACAAACAATGTTCTATGACGTATTGGAAAAAGGCAACGAACATGAAACATTTAAAACATCCCAATTTTTACATCAATCATAAGATCTTACTGTTAACTTCTCAATGACATTAAATGTGAAATCTTGAACTTTCCAATCAGTCTGTTCTAGCAGTTTTGTTGCGATATAATTCAGTTTTCCATGTGCATTTTCTAGATGATCATGTTCCCATATTTTTTTCTGTAAAGTATAAATACAGAACTGTATCTTAAATTATGTTGTTTTTTTAGGTAAGAGCTAACACAATTCCTGTCATATTACACTGTAAAAGTCTTATTTTGGACACTTAATTAGAGTTGCAAGATAATGCAGAAAAAATACACCTGTTGTCACGGTGTTTATCAAGTAACAATGGAATGTGCAACTAACATAAAAAGATAAAAAGGATGGTGAAATGAATAAAAATGTTTACTATAATAAGGTTAACAATTTGTTTTAATAGCAGACCATATTGCTGGGTAACTGGTCATGATTACCATTTTTGTTAGATTCTTAATAATGAAAATTTTACCAGGCAGTTAAATCGTACTAACTTGCTAATACCAGAGATATGATATAGGTAATGTATCTATGTCTCTGCTAATATACAATACCCAAAAGTTATTTTGAGTTTCAAAAATGTAAGGATTCTGTAGTTTCGAAAAACGGCTGCGTAATAATTAATTGCAAGATACTGGTTTATTAAAAATCGTTTTGATTTAAACATTACTAAGACAAAGAAAAACAACAATATAAATCTATGTAATTTAAAACAAATGTAAAGGCATAAAATGTAAAAATTCTTTTAAATGTACATGACTGTATACTATTTGTGTCGCCAAAAAATGCACTCTCAAAAAATCGTACATCACACCAAAGTGATATTTTCAACTTGATACTTTTCTTAATTCATAATCTGCTTATCAATTATTTTATAAAATCACAAAAAAGTTGTAAAACACGTTCACAGAAATTCCTTATTAACTGAATCATAATTTTACGTATTTTTGACTGTGCCAGTTGGTAGGACTCTGGGTCGAGTATCAAATCAGTAAGGCATGACCAATCAAGTCCCTATGATGATCCATAACAAAATTCGGACCATGAATATTTTGACAACTAACAAAAGTAACGTAATCTGGTGTTATGTTATAACTCTAAAAATGCACCCTGCTGATTTATGATATCACAGCCAAGTGCCGCTTGTATATACAACATATGCACCATGTAAATTAATATGTTATGGCCCAGTGGCGCTTATATATGCACACATCTATTTATTTATGAAATAAGTTACTTGGAAAAGGTCTTTATTTTTATAACCATAAGAATAGATTGTGAATATCAAAATTATCTTATTATCGTCTGCTGCAAATCTTAAATTATAAAAGTCAATGCCACATGGTTTTCGTTTTTTCCGGACTACGTATTTATAAAAATTATATCCTTCACTGGTTCTTTGAAATATTTTTTTTAATAAAAAAACGGTAAGTATTGACAGAATGCATTCTGTTATTGTTCTATTAAAAATCCTGTAACACAATTTTTTCATGGTTTTATTTCATAAATATAATGCTCAAATTAAGATTTGTCAATATTGTAAGTTCAAATAAGCATTATTTATAAAGATATTACCGCATTTAATATGTAAATAAAGGGAGGTAATTAAAAATTTATTTTCTATATATTCAAAGTCAATTTTCCAAAAAAGAATGCATATGATCCATTGATTTAATATAATGTACACAAATATTTGCAGTACACATTTTACATATTCTTCGATGTTTGAAAATTGTTTTATTTGCATAATTATATACATATATAATTTTTTAGCAAGTGTGGTATTCACACAGTCACAATATCAAACACAAAATATACAGGATCTTTAAAGCATTTAAAGACATAAGCAATCTTATTTTCATGTGTGTCACAAATACGCCAGAATATTCTAAATGGCAGAAAATAACACAGGAAACTATAAAAATGGCCATTTAAATTCATAATAGGCAATTTCAAAGTGTACGAGTGCTAACATTCTTTGCGGTCTGCATAGTTTTATCCCCCATTTACGTCACATCCGGTAAGGGAAGTAAATCTTCCTTGACTGTTATCGCTTAAATGAAAACGTCTATAAAAGTGTATTTTTCTGTTCTATTAACTAAATTGGGACTAACAAATGAGTTCCTAAGCGATAATTTCTTATAACCGTGTGAGCCATAACCGTATATTTTTATATTAAATAAAGAAGGGCAAAATTCCGGCCAAAAAAATGTTCCTTATAATCGGAAGTTCGCTATAAGGCCTAAAGAATTGTTTGTTTCCGGTGTCCCTACCTACCCTATAATTTGGCCACCGACCCTAAACTTTTTGAGGGAAAACAGGCCGCATTTTGTGTTTGAAGCTGCATAATAAACTTTGCGCCGCATATTCATATTTCCGTCGCATACACTTGATATAAAAAAAATATTTAAAAAATAAATAAAAAATGCCTACCTACCAACCCTATTTTTTTAAAACCATGTCACTGGAAACAAACATTATTTTTGTTAGGCCTAACTGTGCTCGCTATGAGAGAAGTTTACTAAGAAGACATGAGCGATCAGTGATCACATGTGTTGCCTGATGAAAGCCGATTGCATATTGCAGCTACTGTGTAGCAAGAGACAAAAAATCATTCACAGGCCAAAATGCGTATTTTATCCAAGGGCCATAACTCAGCAAAAAACATTCATGGTAAAAAAACCCTGTAAAATATGCACAAAAACTTGAAGTACCAATCAATGCTGTAAAGTTTGATTTAAAGTGCAGAAGTAGTATAACAGAAGAAGCCCAGACAAAAAATGTTAAAAAATAAAAATCATTAAAGGGCCATAACTCTGGCTATTATTTTATTGTAAAATTTTCTTTTAAAATTTTCAAGAAAGAGAATTTATATATCTGTAAGAATTCAAAAGAACCTTATTTTAACTTGATATATGACATATTTTATTGCCAAATATAAGACATGTAAACAGTAACAATACACTGACATGACACATATGGCAAAAAGGTTGACCCACAAGTTCTCTCAACATTAGCAACGGGTCTTCCCTGAAATTATTTTAACTTATTTATATATATCAAATTTCCACTTCATTTATTTTTCTTAGCAGAAACTTTTAGTGGGAAAAATAAAACAAAAACATTCATCGGCATAAAACACAAATACAGATAAATTATGCTAATGAATCTATGCTCTATTATGTAACAATTAAAAAAAAACCTTAACACTTTATTCAAAGTTTTTAGTAGGTTTCCTATCAAAACAAAGAAATAACCAATGCAGTACCTCTAACTTTTTAAGTTCTTTACAGTCATATAAAAAATAAACTTTACAATAGAGATGACATCGTTACAAGATATGACATGTTTTCTTACATATATATTATGCGTGATATATTCAGCTTCCATGTTCTTCAAGTGTGTTGGTCCCTGGCCTTCTGGTCCAAATGTGGTAATCATTTCTCTCACAACTATTTGTTAAGAAGTAAAAATGACAATTTTCAAATATTCTACCCTTCTTTTAGCAAAGATACATTGCAAAAGGGTTTATGTAGCTATTTTTGACATTTCCAACAAAAACTAAGTAGGTCATATGAGAACAATCAAAACAAAACCCCAGTTTGAACCGGGTGATGATCCCCACACAGGAAAGTACACCTCTTGTAGTTTCAGAGTTATGTCCCTGGACAAAGTTCAAAGTGTAATTATTCTAAAATTAGGCAAGGCAGAGTTACTGTTCTAAGCACTCGACTTCTAATTAATAAGATCTATCTACCTACAAAGTTTCTTATTGATACCTCTAGTGGTTTCTTAGTTATGTTCCGGACAAAGTTCAACATGTAAACAAGATTGCATTTGAGAAAAATGCTATGCCACCGCAATAATACAACACTAAATAGTAGTGTAGGAACAGATTTTTTTGTTTCTATACAATTGAAGATTGTCATAATGCATATCTAATTCTTATTATCAGATTAGTGGTTAAATCTATTGTTAACTCAATAAAAGATCAGAGTAGGAATATATCAATGCACTTGAGTCTAGTGAATTTGGTGGTGAAGGTCATATTTCACACAGCCTAAAATTTCATGACTGCATCAAAGGACAACATGTAATACACTTTGTCAAAATCTAGGTCAGCTGATATCAAAGTTCACTTTTAATTTTGACACTAGAGGCAAAATTTGAACAACTTTGGTAGAGTACCTATAGATGATATCATTTAACAAATATTAAAGCTCTAAGCCTTGTACCTTCAGACAATAAGATTTTTTTTATTTTTTACTATATGTATATATTGAAAATCAATGACCCCGGGGCGGGGGCAATTTTGACCCCAGGGCTATTATTTGAACATTCTTCCTAGAGGTTCACTTCACAATGTTTCATGCAAAGTATCTAACCTCTAGCATTTGTCAATTGCTAGAAGAAATTTTTTTAAAGATTTTACTATAAGTTTTTACTATGTAAATATGAGGAAAATCAATGACCCCCGGGGCCGGGCCGATTTTGACCCCAGGGCTATAATTTGAACAATCTGGGTAGTGGTCTATCAGACAATGCCTTATGCAAAATATCTAAGCTCTAGGCCTATGGGTCTTTACAAGAAGGTATTTTAAATTTTTACTATATGTACATATAGTGAAAATCCATGACCCCCGGGGCAGGGCTGATTTTGACCCCAGGGCTTTAATTTGAACAATATTGGTAGAGGTCTACCAGACAATGCCTTATGCAAAATATCTAAGCTCTAGGCCTATGGGTCTTTACAAAAAGGTAATTTAAGTTTTTACTATATGTACATATAGTGAAAATCAATGACCCCCGGGGCGGGCCAATTTTGACCCCAGGGCTATAATTTGAACAATCTTGGTAGAGGTCTACCAGACAATGCCTTATGCAAAATATCTAAGCTCTAGGCCTTTTGGGTCTTTACAAGAAGATTTTTTAAATTTATTCTTATAATTCCTTTTGGTTGCCATGACAACCAGATTTCTGCATGGAATTAAATTCTTTGAACAACTTTGGAAGCCCTTCACCCAAGGATCAATCCTGCCAAGTTTGGTTGAAATTGGACTAGTGGTTTTTCACAAGAAGATTTTTTAAGTTCACTATATAATCTATATAACACACACACACACACACACACACAAACAAACAAACAAACACACACACACACACACAGGTGAATCGCTATATGCCACCGCATCGCAGATGCTGCGGTGGCATAAAAAGAACAAGGGCAGTAACTCCAAAATAAGGCAAGGCAGAGTAATGATTCTTGTGCATTGCACATCTACTAATTGAGATCAATCTACCTACAAAGTTTCATATGGTATCTCTTATAATTTTAGAGTTATGTCCCCAACAAAATTCAAAATGTAAAACTTAACAAAGGGCAAAAAGCAAATTCGCTGAATTTATATCCCACACCGAGTACTGGTTATTACTAATACAACAACTGAAGACATAAGGCTTTATTTATATATATTTATCATTGCGTAAACAGTAATATTCATTGTACATGATTGATATTCATTGCAATAACAGAGCTAGCTTAAGGTCTTCAGCGTACCCATTTATATACTATGACATGACGTGAACGCTGAAGACAACCCCGTAGGGAAAGTCCACCAATAATCGTGCCAGGAATCTGACACGCTTGTATTCATTCCTCGTACATGTCATGAAGTAAAAGTGAAGCATACCTTGATAAAACTATATATAATCTCTTGATAAGCCAAGGATGGACAAATAAAAATCTTATTACGAACATAAACTACCTAATAGTTTCTGACAGGTAAAGATTTCGGCACATGACTGTCATATTGCCAAAATGTTTGACCACGTGATAACGAGATTGACCTTTACGAACCCATGTGCTTCCAATATTTTTATTAATTACTTTTTTCAAAGATATTGAAAAAGGTGATTTACTGACTTTTGTATTCAATAAAATCATATTTAAGTATTAAAAAATAATGAAAATAAATAAAAACATTATCTTTAATAAAAATATTGAAATCATGTCTAAAGATGTTCTAAATATAGTACACGACTCTATTCTAATCGGTTTCCGTGAATGACGTCATTCGAGGTCTCGCATGGCACCTAAATGTCTGATGGCCAACTGTAGTCGCATAATTGATGTTTTACAGTTAAATAGGCAATTTTAATGACGGTATTAATATTTTGATAATTTAATTTGTATAGAACAATGTTAAGATAATTGTTTTATCGTAAAATACACAAGAATTGATTGGGTCAAGTGTATTTGCAAGTGAAAAATAAGGTTATATCAACTTATGTTATTCTGGTTAGGTTTTGTAACGGGTCTTATCCAAAACTTAAATGCCACATCAGATGAAAAACAAAAATGTTAAATAAAGGCTTATAAAGTTTTGAATCCGGGAACTATAACAAAGCCATAACTCTATGTTAAATAGTAATATCTGGTCATGCCAATGAGATGTTAATTGCCTTTAAGTATTGATGGTTGCCATAAAGTTTTGTTAAAATCAATACAGCAGTTGCAAAGAAATAGCAATATTGCTCTTTATGCATACTACATAACTAATCAAGGTCCATAACTCTGTAATGAAGGGTCTGGTCTGAACAAGGCAAAAAATTGTGCACATCTCAACTTGGTATTAATCATGTTCCCATAAAGTTAAATTGAATTCCAGTCAGAAGTTGCAGAGAAGAAGCGTGGAAACTATTATTGCTCAATATGCATACTGCATAACTAATCAAGGGCCATAACTCTGAGATAAAGGGTCTGACCGTAACAAGGCAATGATATGCGCATCTCCTCTTAATATTGATGATTCCCATAAAGTTTTGTTGAATTCCAGCCAATAGTTGCAAAGAAGTAGCGCAGAAACGATTATTGCTGTATATGCACACAGACACTGCAAAATATATCGAGGGCCATAACTCTGAGTTTAAGTGTCTGACCGGAACAAGGCGACGATATGCACATCTCCTGTTGGTATTGAAGGCTCTCATATTTTTTTGTTAAATTCCAGCCAACAGTTGCAGAGAAATAGCATGGGAACAATTATTTTTCTATATGCATACTGCATAATTTATCAAGGGCCAAAATTCTGAGTTAAAGTGTCTGACAGGAACAAGGCAATGATATGCGCATCTCCCCTTGGTATTGATGGTTCCCATAAAGTTTCGTTGCATTCCAGCCAGTAGTTGCAGAGAAATAGCGCTGCAAGGCAGAGTTACAATTCTTGTGTGCTGCACATTTACCCATTTAGATCTATCTACCTAAATTGTAACAAGGTTTCATGTTGATATCTCTTATAGTTTTAGAGTAATGTCCCGGACAAGATTTATATAAAAGGGGAAAAAATTCAAAAACAGGGCTTAACAGAGTTATGGTTCTTTGCACTGCACTTCTACCCAATGAGATCTATCTACCTACAAAGTTTCATGTTAATATCTCTTATAATCAAAGAGTTATGTTCCGGACAACGTTCAAAGTGTTATAATGAACAAAGGGCAATACTCCAAAATTAGGCAGAATAGAGTTCAATTCTTGTGCATTGCATATCTAACCATTGAAATCTATTTACTTACAAAAGTACAAAACAGAGTTAAGGTTCTATGACTTGCCTCAGTGCCCTCTACCACTGTGTGAACTTTAAATTAATTATCTCCAAGGGTTTTCAAGTTATGCTCTGGACAAGACAATGGTCAGACGGACAGACAGAAGGACAAGTCGGTGACTATATGCTCTCCCTTTGGGAGAATAATAAAAATATACGTCAACTTATCAACCTTTTTTGGTTGATTTGTACATGACACCAATACAGTATAGGTCATAATTATGGCGACTTTCCAGCTTTACTGGTGGAGGAAGACCTTCATGCCCTTCCATGCATTATTTAGTAAGCTAGCAGGATAGATTCCTCAAATAAAAGAATCCAAAGTTCCTGTCACTTAAGCTAACTTTGTCACTTCATGAAGTTTTGTATACTTACTGACACCAAAACTATAATAATCCCAGCTCTCGTTTGCACTTTTTCCTTTTCCATGTTCAGGATGTAAATAATACACTCTTCCGCCACCTATACTTGACATATCATCCTCTTCTCTTGCCAAACCAAAGTCAATAAGGCGGGCATTAAACACGTCATCCAACACAATATTTTTAGAGGCTATATCTTTGTGAAGAATTGCAGCTCTGAAACACAACACTGACATGTTACAAGAGAGGGCAGTTATTACTTTTAACAAAAGTAATTTTTTAAGATTAATCACAGTCCTGAAACACAACACTACTTAAGATGCATGAATGGGGTACAAAATACATCATTTCTGGGTTTCCTAATTTTTTTATCAAATATTATAATATATGAACGTAATTTCCCTTTAAAACCCGCTATCAAGAGCAAAAAGCCCTATCAAAGCACAAGTCACTTCAGCAATTAGCCAATTCCAGTTCAATACTAGCATTAAGCTCACTAGTTTACAACTTTTATTGGTGAAGGGAAAAAGACTTAAAGAACAGGTTTACTCGTTACCTGACACCATGCACTTTAGTGTGGATGTACTTGATAGCTAATGCAACTTGGAGAAGAATTTTCACTCTTTTTGGTGCAGTCAGTTTGGGAATCTGTTGCATCCTGTCATGTTTGAGGACTTTATAAAGATCACCGTTTTCACAAAGTGGAGAGACAAACCAAAACTCTCTTTCCCTGAAATATTAAAGTTCATGCATATTTATCTTAATATTAATGATTTAAAGATTAAAACTAGAAATGTGTGAAAAGGACAAAATTAATGTCCCGATAAACAGTTATTATCATTGTTAACTAAAGATGGAAAACAGACACATTTTGTCTTAATCTTTAACTGATATCATAATATTCATAACTGCATCTGAAAAATGCAAATGTAAACAAGGTTTTTCCTTATTTGGGCTGTGTAACCTAATTTTTTACCCCAGATGACCCGTATTTGACTTTGAGCTAGAAATAATCTCGACAACATTTCAGGAAAATTTCCAGGATATTTGGACCGAAACACTTCACTGTAGCCTCTAGAATGTTAAAGCTACATTAAAAAAATATGTAAGCAAATATTTTACTCACAGTCAGCCTAAAAACCTAGCATTATACAGTTTCATTAATCTTTTTAATAGTATTTTTGTAAATTTCATCAAACATTGTTCATAAAATACGATTTTAAACGGAAAACCCACAGTAACACTAATTTACTACATATACAAATTTTAACATGCAAATAAAGACTATTATAAGTTTGTGTCAGAGCTACGTCACAGTGTTAAAGTTGCTATACAGAACACACTTTAACCGTTTTAGCTTCACAGTACACTTGGCATGGCGTTCAGGAAAGAGTAATCATCTCATAAAAAATATTAAATTTGTATGAAAACATCCATTACAATGCGGAAATATACAGTTATATTAGGACTGCTACTTAATGCCAATTTTGTTTGTTGATTTAATATTGATGTATGGATGATCCGAATGTGGAGTTTCTTATGCAAACAGAAATTGTACTTCCGATTTCGTCACAATGAGGTTGCAGATATTTATGATAATAAAACTCATTTTAGATGTCTTGACAACATGATAAGATCTGGAGTTGATATGAAACCCGATTTATTAATGAAATGTCGCTGTTTCTATTTTTATGAAATTTATTTAATGTAGCTTTAAAAAATAACAAAGTTATTTTAAAAGATGTGGATACACGTGCATATCCATGGTAAAATTTCCATCTGTTGTTTTATCCCTAACTAAAGCTGTTAACATGTTATCTCTTCTATTTCTACCTAAATATTAACAAGAGGGCCATAATGGCCCTCAGAGTCGCTCACCAGAAACAACTGCTTTTCAGTGTTTGAATGTCAATATATTCTAACATTAAATTTGAGCATAGAATATGATTAAACAATAATTTGAAGAAATGCCATGACCTGGGGTTTTTAAGCTTTAGCTTAAACAGGGCTAATCAAATTAATATCAGCAAACTTAATGAAAGACTACCTATGAATGCTACAAAGTTTGGTGATCATCTTTCAATTATTTCAGTAGGAAATGATGTTCGAGGGTTTTTCTATTTTTAGCTTTAGTGGCCCCTAAAAGAGGCTAATCAAATTAATATATTAAGCAAACGTGATAAAAGAGTACCCAAGAATGCTACAGACAAAGTTTGGTGATCATCCATCAATTGGTTCTGTAGAAGAAGATGTTTAAAAGTTTTTCTATTTTTAGCTCTGCTGACCCCTAAAAGAGGACAATTGGAATGACATGAGCAAATTCAAGTGTGACTGTCACAAGGATGCCACAGACCAATTTGAAGTAAATTTTCTTAGTAGTTTCAGAGAAGAAGACGATTGTTGACGCATGACGACGGACGCCACAGCATCCCCCTTTGATACTTATAGCTCACCCTGAGCCTTCGGCTCTAGTGAGCTAAAAAAAAAAATGGTCAAAGACAGAAAAGGCCGGGTTGCATATGTATACAAAATATCATGAGGCTGTGATGACGTTACTTAAATTTTCTACCACTGTCTGACCATTGATGTTGAAAATTTAGCTTAGTTGGTAAACCGGAAAAGAATGAGCATCAGACCTGAAATGGAATCCCACAATATGGGACCACATGTCAATGCTGTGAACCACATATCAAGAGGCTGTGGTAAGTAGTTGCTGAGAAAACTGTTACGAAAATTTCCTACTATCTATTGATCATTAATTATGTCAAAATTTAACTAAGTCGGCAAACAGGAAGTGGATGAGCTACAGACCTGAAATCAAATCCCACGGTATGGGACCACATGATAATGCTGTATACCAAATATCAAAAGGCTGTGATAAGAGTTGCTGAGAAAACTGTTACGAAAATTTCTTACTATTGACCATTAATGTTGAAAATTTAACTAAGTCGGCAAACAGGAAGTGGATGAGCGACAGACCTGAAATGGAATCCCACAGTATGGGACCATGTGTTGATGCTGTATACCAAATATCAAAAGGCTGTAATAAGTAGTTGCTGAGAAAACTGTTACGAAAATTTCCTACTATTGACCATTAATGTTAAAAATTTAACTAAGTCGGCAAACAGGAAGTGGATGAGCGACAGACCTGAAATCGAATCCCACAGTATGGGACCATGTGTTGATGCTGTATACCAAAAATATCAAAAGGCTGTAATAAGTAGTTGCTGAGAAAACTGTTACGAAAATTTCCTACTATTGACCATTAATGTTAAAAATTTAACTAAGTCGGCAAACAGGAAGTGGATGAGCGACAGACCTGAAATCGAATCCCACAGTATGGGACCATGTGTTGATGCTGTATACCAAAAAATAACAAGGGTGCCATAGTCACAAAATACGCCCGTTTACGAAAAAGCTTTAGATGGAGATGGGGGCATTATGGATAAGTGTTATCTAGCAAGCAAGTTTTTATTCTTGGCACTGTGTTGTTAAATGAACCTTAAAACAAATCAATAGGGAAGATATGCACAGAATGTGTGACCTTGACCTTGGTCGCAGGGACCTGAATTTTATGCACGGCACTCAGCCTCACAATGATGAACATTTGTGCCAAATTATATTGAAATCCCTCTATGCATGTAGAAGTTTTGCTCCAGACAAGTGTTTTTCTATGAGCTCTAACTGTGACCTTCACCTTTGACCTAGAGACTTGGTTTATGTGCAGGGCACTACGTCTCATGGTGGTGAACAATTCTATAAAAGTAACATTAAAATTCCTCCATGCATGTAGAAAATATGCTCCGGACAACATCTGGATATTTAATCATCTCCAGTGACCTTGACCTTGCAAATATTAACTTAAATTAAATGTGTAACACCTGTAGTCATGATAGTTACCATTTGTGCTACAATCCATCAATAAATGATGACTAAATGGTCCCTATAACCATCTTCAAATTTTTTATCTGAACTTTGACCTCTATGTGTAACCTTGACTTTGGTCGCAGGGATCTGAATTTTGCATGCGACACTCAGCCTCACAATGGTGAACATTTGTGCCAAGTTATATTGAAAACCCCCTATGAATGTAGAAGTTTTGCTCCGGACAAGCGTTTTTCAATGAGCTCTAAGTGTGACCTTGACCTTTGACCTGGAGACCTGGATCATGCATGGAGCAATACATATCATGGTGGTGAGCATTTCCATAAAGTATTAAAAAAATTCTTCCATACATGTAGGAGATATGCTCCAGACAAAAATCTGGATATTTCACACATCTTTAGTGACCTTGACCTTGCATATATTGACCTAAAGTACATGTGTCACAGCCGTAGTCATTATAATGACCATTTTGTGTTACAATCCCTCAATAAATGATGATTAAATCGTCCCTATAAACACATCTTCATATTTTTATCTTTTTTTAAACGGGCCGTATAAAAAGTACATGTAATTTAATAACTAAAAAATTCTGATTTAAGATTTTATTCTAGGGAAATACATTTCATTACAATTCTTAATCTTTGAATGAGCTGAACTGATATTTACTTGAAAATTAAAATATAATTAATTTCTATGAGAAAGTATTTACATTTGATAAGGTAATTACTGTATGATCTTTATGAACAAATACCAAGTCTACAGAACACCATAGTTATCACAGTTAAGTATCTTGACCAATGAATGAAACATGTGTAAATAAATGTTACATTCTTTACAACATACTCAAGTCCAAGAAAGAGGATTATTTCATGCCCTTTGATTAAATTCTATTTTTAGAAAATAGATCAAGGGGAGTAATGTGTGTAAGTCATTTATGAACAAAGTAATAACTTTGTTGTCTCCCTTTGATTAAATTCTATTTACAAAATCTGGATATTTCATCATCTTTAGTGACCTTGACCTTTGTATATATTGACCTAAATTATATGTATCACAGCCATAGTCTTGATAATGACCATTTTGTGTTACAATCCCTCAATAAATGATGACTAGAATGGTCCATATACAGCATCTTCATATTTTTATCTGAACTTTGACCTGTAAGTGTGACCTTGACCTTGGCCGCAAGGACCTGAATCTTTGCACGCGACACTCCGCCTCACAATGGTGAACATTTGTGGCCAAGTAATATTGAAATCCCTCTATACATTTGGAAAGTTTTTGCTCCGGACAAGCATTTTTCAATGAGCTCTAAGTGTGACCTTGACCTTTGACCTAGAGACCTGGTTCATGTGCGCGACACTGCTCCTCATAGTGGTGAACATTTATATGAAGTTTCATTAAAATCCCTCCATACATGTAGGAGATATGCTCCGGACAAAATTGGACGCCGCCCACCCGCCCGCCCGCCCGCCCCGCCAGGGGCGTTCCCATAATACGTCCCGTTTTTCAAACGGGCGTATAAAAAGGATGTGATAAGTAGTTGCTGAGAAAACTGTTACGAAAATTTCCTACTATTGACCATTAATTTTGAAAATTTAACTAAGTTGGCAAAAAGGAAGTGGATGAGCGACAGACCTGAAATCGAATCCCACGGTATGGGACCATATGTTAATGCTGTGTGCCAAATATCAAGACGCTGTGATAAGTAGTTGCTGAGAAAACTGTTACGAAAATTTCTAACTATTGACCATTAATGTTGAAAATTTAACTAAGTCAGCAAACAGGAAGTAGATAAGCGACGGACCTGAAATGGAATCCCACAGTATGGGACCATGTGTTGAT